TAAACATGGATTCAACATCATTCCGGAAAAGCTCTTTGGGGAATTCGTATACTCGCAAACATAGTTGACCGCGAAAATAAGTCTTCTTCGTCTTTCTTCCCCATCAAAGAGGTTAACGCGTCTTTCTTTGCCCTCGCCCATGTTAAGAGTTCTTCTTCGCCGAAATTTTTTACGCTTCTTTTTTCGCTGTCAACTTTTGAGCTCGCGTCTTTATTCGTATCTAATGACGATATGTATGTACATATATAAAGTAAAATGAATCGTTATACGCAGCTAATTTGTTTTTATTGTACTAGCCGTGTTTTAGTTTTACTAAATGTTATGATAGCTATGTTTTTAATAAATTTGACATTAAAAAAAAATATTAAAACTGAAAAAAATGTTTGGTAGGTTTTGATTGGTTATAGTAGGAAATTTTGGTAGGGTAAAAAATGTGTCTGTGGCAACGCTGTTAGTAATAGCAAAAATATGGTTCACTATGCTCTAAGCGCAATCTGTGTGAAAGATGACAATTTTTGGTCAATATCTTAGGCTTTCCCAAGTCCATCAAAGATCAAGTGCTAAACAAATTGTTTCTTAGCTTACTTCGATTCTCTACAAAAAAGGTCCATATACTAAATTATGTACGACTAATACTTTCGAAGGTACTTGCAATTTTATTAAAAAATATATTAATTAATGTATTTAATAAATTTTAGTACGTGTTGCTCATTTTCTACATATACAAAATCGTCGAACATATTTCATATGGAAAAAAATGACTGACAGCGTCAACAAAAAAATGGTTAAAAATCAATGGCAAGCCCAAGCTACTTCAAACTTGCTCTTTATACCACTGTCATTTAATGGGCTACAAAATTGATTTCGTAATTTTTACGAAAGTTTGGGTATTTTTTTTTAATATTGCACAAAGTTTGAAGCTCGGTTTTGGTTAAAGAATAAAGTATACTTTTATAACAAGTATTTTTTAGCAAAAAAACCGACTTCAATTCTCATATAAAAAAAAAATATATATATATATATATATCTCATGATCCACTGATCGGATCTTAACCAGAGTATTAGTGTGGGACCACCTCTGAGACACTACCTTTCCGATGCAAAGTTCGAAATCGGTTGACGTGGTCCAAAGTTATGCGGTAACATTCATAAAGAAAAACAAAAAAAAAAAAAAAAAAAAAAAAAAA